CCCCCACAATATACAAGAGTAAGACTTCATTTTAAGCTATTATATGCAATCACCTCTATGTACACTACACAAACGCATGTAAACCAGGACAAAATATTTTTTTAAAATTAATGAATGTTTTAGATGTTTACTTTTTAGAATATAATTTGGTATTTTTCTGATTCTGAGATGGCGAAACCCCTTGCTGAAAGCAGCACTTTATGGGGGCAAGGGGAGGGACTTCTGGTGTCAAAGGTTAGGAGTTAGGGGGTGGGACTTCCACAAGATGGTGACCAGGGGCTACCAATGCAGCCCTTGACAGCTTGCCAAAACTGAGTAAGTGGCCCTCTGCCCGAAATAATTGCCCACCCCTGTGCTAGAGTCATATAATTGTTTGTCCCATACTCTACAACTGTGTCAAATACCCTGGTGCTCTCAGTGTTTCTGCTTCGTAATCACATGCATAGTTTGCAATACATGAGTGATTATTAATATGTACAAAATATCAGGAACATTGTAGTCTCCCTAGTGGCTCTAGTAGAATTTTAAGGAATATCCATCAAATCTTACTGTCCATTGGTTAAGTTTCTTAGTTTCTGTATCTGTAAAATAAGACTAATAGTTTCCTTATGTAAAGGGATTTTAAATTTATGGCTAGGAAGTGCTATTTTAAAGTTAGGTATTTAATAATTAATGATCACGATCACATCTTAAGAATGATGCTTATTTCTGGATAGCTGTCTTCCTGCCATAGTGAGCTGAGGCGAGATTGGTTTGGGTCATTACTTTAATTGAAAATGCAACAAGTTCTTTTGGCACAAAAGTATTAACTGCCTTGACAGAATTTGATTCAGCAGCAACTGCTGTCTTCCTTCTAACATGGAAGAATCTTCTTTGCAGCTGAAATTTTGTTTTTTGTTCTTCTGTGACAGCATTGGATTCCCAATAGTTTTCCAGGTTGCTACTGTACAGTGTGCCTTTGAATGAGCTGGAGTGGCTCTCTGTAGGAAACGTTACTATCTTTATAACAAAGCAAGTTAAGACAGCACACACTTTTATCTTAGTCTGTAGCAATTTCTGCAAGACCTTTTTGACAGACACAAAACACATCTGTAAACTTGAACCGTCTTGGAACTGTCTAAAAATATTTAGAACTGTGATAATAAGTTTCTTTATGCACGGACAGAGCCTAAGACCAAACTGAACAATAACGTAAAAAGTGGGTCCTCTAGGAGCCTGAGATATTTTGTATTTGTTTGGCTCATAGCTTCCTTTATATAGAACCCATTTGTGAAGATTCATCCCATTACATGCATCCTACATCCTTTTAGGCGGAGGGAGCTTCTCTCAAGAGCTGAAAATGGCTATGCTTTATCAAGCTGTATATAGAAGAGCTTCCTTTCTGTGGTGCAGGCTACACTCTACCTACGTTAGAAAAATACGGTAAGTTCTTGTCTGAACTGTGTTCAGTGGGGAAGCTAGAGCTTGGTATTCTTGTATCCAATGTTTATGGTTATCTCTGCTAAAACTCTGCATTACTAATCCTATGTAGTCTGATGATAATAAAATGAACTGAAGGCCTTGCTTATTGTCTACAGCAACAATTAGCTCCCTTCAGCAGGGGCTGAAAACTGTTGTCCTAGTGCTGGATTCAGGTGTATGTATGCTCATACCAACCGCTGGAAAGTCTGTGAGATATAAAAATGCTCCAGAATGCTCCTAAATATGGCTGAACTAATTTAATAGTGCTCATACTAGCTGGATAGTCATTTTTAATATCACTTCAAACAGTTTGAAGGAAAAACTTTTTGATACCAATTCTCAAATAGGACAGCTTTGCTTGGTACGCATATAACCCAATATGTGCTGTACTTGTTCAGGGCTTGAGCTTGATCTTTTGAATTGGGATACCAATGAGAACCTTATATTGCTCAGTGATCTAATCATTCAAAATAAGAGTCATGTTCACAAACTTAAGATGTACCCAGGTTTCCTTGTTAGTATAGACAGTCAAGCATGACTTAAAGACCTCAAAACTTGAGAAATAACATAAATATGAGCAAGATCCATAGGTCCTTTGACTTCTTTAAGTTATAGTAAGATTTCAGCTTTATTTCTCCACACATGATTGTAAATATCAAGTAAAAGGTTTGTTTCAGAGACTGAATTGCAGGTTTTTTTAATAATAATATCCAAAGTTCAATCCTTTCCCCACCAATAACAAGCACTTGGCTTGGGGAAGCTTTGGAAATATTTGGAGTAGGAAAAGGATGAAATATTCTTGTGACAATCTCATGACCACCATACAAGCTGATTGGCATGCCCTGCCCACTGGAGCTACATTGCAGCTGGGTCTACTCGCCCACCATGACTTACTGTTCAAACTGGTGTGCCCGCCTGGTCTCGAGAATGCGCTCGTGTGCCACCTTGGCACATGCACTGGGTGTTGGCTGCTGCGTGGGTTCCAGCGATCTGTGAAGGGGTCCATGGTCATCCCAGGGAAAGCCCAGAGACTCATCTGCCATGACTTTGATCGTACCTTCAGTGGTGGGCTCCCCTCCTGTGGACTCCCTCAGATTGGCTGCAACCGTTGGTGGGTATCCATGAGGCTCTGCCTCCGCTACATCCTATCCATGTTCCAGCCTTCAGGATGGCCAGTTGGTGTCAGTGCAGCTCGTCCTCCGGTGTTGTTTTTCTCCGCTCCCCTTGTTGACTGGGCTACAGTTGATTCCTCCCAGTCGCTGTGTCCTCGGGGCATCTTTAAGCTGCCCTGCTCTTCTGCTGTGTTTTTAATTATGCCTGGCTGCTTGCCATGGCTTTCCAGCCACTCCTATACTTGGAGCACCGTCCGTGCTCCAACCCTCCCCTCGGGGCCTCTCTGGGCTGTCGCTGGCAGAAGGAAAAAAAAAAAGAAGAAAAAACTTTAACAGCAGAATAAGGGCTAGGGCCATGACCCGTCCCCACTCCCAAATGTGATGCTGGTGGCCCCAGCTGTCCCCTGGCATTGTCCCAGGTCCTCTCCCCTGCTGAGGACCCATCTTGTTGGTCCAGCTGTCTGTCCACCACCTGTGCTGGGTCCAGCCGGAAATAAGTGCAGCTCATGAACTGTGTGGGCATTTCATGCCGGCATGGCTCATCTCCCTGTCCGTGGTCTGAACCTAGTAAGTTGGCCCTGGTTTAAGGGCTTTTCTTGTAGGGATGGGCTGTCCCAGTCCCAAGCCCTACCGTGGGAAGCATCTCCTGTTCCCTGGTGACTGTCCCCCTGGGACAACTGGGTTTTGCCTCTGGAGGTGGTAATCAGTGGTTCCTGTAGGGCCCAGGGCAACCCTATTGACACATCTGTGGGGCTCCTCCTCCCCTACACCCCTTTCCACTCAGGTGTTACGATCAGCCTAGGTGAAGCTCAGGTGTGATGAGCCTGGGGCCTGGTGAGAATGGCGGCCGTAGCAGGGCTTGCTGGTCTCCTCTATTCTTTGAAAACTACAACACAACTGAAAATCCAGCTTAAATGGTTCAGACAGTATGGTGTGCAGGGCAATGATACCCCTGCACTGAGTGCTTTCCTTATGCGTGTGAGTGCCTCAGTGCCTGATGCACCTCCTGTACTCTTTGGGTTTATGGTGCCTCCTGGTGGGTGGGTTTTCTGGTCCAGGTTCTTCCCATCCTTCCACCAGGCTAGGTATGGCAATGCTTTGAGGCAAGCCCTGCTGTGCATACATGAAGCTTACAGTGCTGCCAGTCTCCCATTGGTGCACTCTGGGCCCATGGACACTCCGTCAGGATGTGCGATGCCAGGGGGGCTCTGTGCTGGGTTTTCCCCTTGGTGGATGTCAGTAGTGCCCACTGGGCTGCTCTCTCCCAGTCCCACCTGACCTGTGTATTCCTACATGGTCCCCTGCAGGTGCCAGAGAGCAATGTTAGATCCGGGCTGCATGGTTTGCCAACCACATTGGTTAAACTGGCGCTCAGTCAGGCCTCCACTGCACTGTGGGTGACCAAGGCTTCCTGAGTTTTCTCAGGGAACTCATTCCTGGGGAGAACAACTCACTTCCATCAGTCACAGAGAGCATGTCCTAGTTCTCCCCAGATCCATCAGCAGTGAGACGTGTGCTGCTTCTCCAGGAGTGCTGGCCCTGAGAGGAGGCGCTGTGTCTCCTCTGGCCATGGAGAGAGAATTTGGCTCTGCTTCCAGCACTCCTCACATTTCTGTCCCCTGGCTCCTTTGAACCTCAAGGCCTCAGGGCCCCCAGCCAACCAGCAGAGCTCCTTCTGGCTGCAGGATGCTGACTGGCTCACCCGCAGACCTGCCATGAGGACACTGGCATCACCATGAGAAGGGCAGCTGCCTATCACAATGCTATCCCATTCCTCTATTCAAACTGAGCCTGTGGTACTCAGTGATCTAGAGCAGAGGTTGGTAACATTTTTGGGCAGAGTGTCAAAAACACCCACAACCTCAGTGTGTAAGATGTTGGTGTGTGAGAGGTGGATGGAGGGGCAGCCATTGTGGCAGGGCAGCCCCAGCCCCTTCCCTGCTGTCTGCCCTGAGACACACATGCCAAGCAAAATGCCTTTGTTTGTCATGCTCTGGCACATATGCCATGGGTTGCCTACCTCTGATCTAGACCAAATCATGCAATGAACATTCTGATCCTTTTTACCTGCAGATACTTATTTGAGCTAAAGGAAGATGATGGCCTTTGTAGGCAAGCCCAGAACTCAGGAACTTTCTACCTCTTTCACAATCTGTTTCCTTTCCTGCAAAAAGTTGGAAGCAAACATTTGGCCCCACAGATAAGTGCATCAGGTAAGCAGGTTCTCTGTAGTTAACACCTTCATGTATTGATCATCTTAAATGATGTAGTCAGTTTTCTTCCATTAACTCTATTTCAGTTGATACCATATTGACTGTAAGTCCCTATTCTTTGTGTCTCTGTCTGAGACCCCTCATAATACCAAATCAGAAAATCTGTTAGGCTAGATTTGTGTGTATTCTTGTTGATTTATTAACATCAAGTAACTATTTAGAATTAAAATCGTTGGACATGAACATAAGGTACATTGAGCACATTTCCTGCAGGTGTATGTATAGGATATCTACACAGGTTTAAGCTATTTATTAATATGTCTTCTGAGACAGTGGTTTTACATGTTTTAAATGTGGGCCATCTTTTATTTTGAAGATAATAGCTTGTTAGGAAAGTGAGCTACCCAGTGAGCTAGGCAATGGGGAGTATTTGGCATAATCTAGGAGGACTTCTTTTGTTGGAAAGCTATTCAGTCACCTCTGAGACATAAGTAATTTTAAGGAAAGGGACAGTGTAGATCCCCAGAGCACTGGGACATGTTCCTTTTGCTTTACATGATCAGGGTCCAAAGTAATCTGGATTCTTAGTTCTCATTTTTATCCCTTTAATTGTAGAATCACCGCATATCCACTTCTACCCTTTCTTACCTGTGTTCTTTGACTTGGAGGTTTACCCTCCAGTGGGAAATTAGAATGGGTACTAACCTACCCAGTTTGGGGAGTTATTATCAGGAGCACCATGAAACATCACTGTGAGTAAGCTAGTTCTAGATACCTGGCCATAGAGCCATAAGAAACTTCTGTGATATGACCTCATTGCATTGGCCTGGATGGTAGACATCTTAAAGGTTAGGATATTGTTATGGTTGCATTAGTGTAGCTATGGTTGGATTACAGTTATTTTGTCCCTTTTACTGTGGTGTTTAGAACTGAAGAGGATTTTGAAGAAGTTCCAACAGAATGAACAAAAACTAGGGGATTCAGTGCTGATTGGCTGTTCAGATGAATGCATGGCATACTTTGCCCTGGATTTAGGTAAGAATAATTCTTCTGTATATATTTGATGCACTGGGTTGCTATGTGTATGTATGCTGCATACTACTGGAGATGCTCTCAAGTGGCACATTTAGCCCTTGGTGGGTGAGAGGTTGCACCTTAACTTCTCTCTTCTCATCTTGTTCTTGCTAGGAGGTCCTATGACCATGACATGTCTCCAGTGTCACAGGAATTATCACATAATGTAATTGCTTCTTTCTCTGTTATAGTAAAATTGGAATGAAATGTCACACAACAATTTAGGAACATATTACTATAAATGTGATGTCATTTCTTTAGTAATAAGCCCATGTTATTAGCTGTTCTGCGAGAATTTGTAGAAATTGTACATTGGTTAACTGGTAAAAGGAACAATGTTGGGACCACAAATGAGGTTTCTGTTTTACATGGACTTACTCATTTCCAGGTTCCTTGGAAAAAGTGGACATTGAATCTGAACTCAAAGGATCATTTACTGAGTTACAGAAAGCTTTCTTCCAGCTAGATGGGAAGGATGCCCCCTTGCTGTTCTTGGTATGATATAGGTTATTTTACTTATGGAAGTTATGATTGCTGACACCATTTCTTTCACTCTCAGTCATTAGTTAGTTAAAATATATTGTGGAAGTACCTAGGAGCCTCGTAAGGTGGAACATTACACTAGGCAGTGCGCAAATATGTTGTAAATGGCAGGCCCTTCCCCAAAGACCTTATAATCTGAAAAACAAGATATAATAGGTAGGTGAAGCAAACGAGTGAGTAGCTGGAGAAAGAGGACAGAATGGGCATGTCTACATGTGCAATTAATGTGGAGTAATAAACTTCATTGCTTATTGCGCTGGAGTTTATTGAGCCCAGGCACGTTGTTTGAACTTGTGCCCAGGACTGTAGCACATTGGGCTGGGTTGGAGCAGCCCCAGCTGGCAGGGGCCCGAGGGGTCAGCCTGCCAGCCCAGGACTGCTCTGACTCAGCTCAGCATGCTACAGAGGGTCTGGCTAGGGCACGAGGGTGCTCCAGTGCAGGGCCAGCTGGCAGGTAGCCCTGCACTGTAGCATCCTTCTGCCTCAGCCAGCCGCACCTGTGTCTATATGTGTACTGCTGCGGAGTAATAAACTCCGCAGCGGGGTAGTACTTGTATTTACAAATATTTACATGTATTTATTTACAAGTACTACCTTGCTGCAGAGTTTATTAGTTTACTCCAGCCTAATAGCACATGTAGACACTGACATGTTTACTGCAGAGCTAATTAGTCAACTGAAGTGAACATCTTGTGTAGACATGCCCAATGACAGTGGTAATAATCTGCTTTAGCATGGGCCAGGTTTCTGTCCGGTCCGTACATTTTCCAAGCCAGTCAGCATCAATAATCGCAACTTGCTACTTGCCTAACTACTATTAGGTGGCAGTTTTCTGTATATCTCACAGGTGTGAGTGGTAGGAGGCATTTGAAAAGGAAAAGTGTGGTGTTCTTTCTGCATTATTTTTTAAATTGCTCCTCTTTAAGCCATTACTCTGCAGACATCCTAATTGGTTTTGAAAGCCTCCTTGTACCCCATTCTGTCCAGTGCTACGTGTGCAACAGCAGCTGACAGATCTGATCATGCATAACTTAAAAGAATACTTAGATGCTATTTACTGTTTCTGTTAAATCAAATCCCAGTGTGGATTTTTTCATTGTTCTTTTCCTCTGCTAGTCACTGGGAGAAATAAGGAGCTTGAAAGCTTGAATGTGGATGCATCCACTTTTCAAAACAGCTTCTTTCATGTGAGTTTCTAGGGCTTTCTGACCTGTTGAACTGGTGTTTGATCCACATGGGCATGTTGTAGGGAGAGAATGGCAAAGTATTACTCACAGAGGATATAATGACTGCACTAAGTGAGCTCAAGTCACCTGTTCAAACTGGCTTGTATTTATGTTTTGTACTTATAGGCTCAAGCTCTCCTTCGCTGGCATGACACTCACAAATACTGCAGCAAAACTGGCCAGCCTACTCAGAAGAACCTTGCTGGCAGCAAGCGTGTTTGTCACACCAACGGAATAATTTATTATCCACAGGTAAGCATCTCTACAGCAAGATAAATAACACACAAGCCAAAATTGCTGCACGCAATATGTGGGAATTTGTAAGTGCAAGATCAAGAGCTGCCTATATTGACTTGCATACTTTTTCCTTATTGCTTGTCCAGTGTCTCAAAACCTTTAAGCAGAAGCAGTAGCACTTGAAACAGCCTGTGTTCTCATAACATTGTTTTCATGGAGCAGTTGGTTTGTCTGACCTCTGATTCCCACTTGCTTTACTGTTTGGCATGTTCTCTAGATGTCCCCAGTAGTTATCACTTTGGTGTCTGATGGGAGCCGGTGTCTTCTTGCACGGCAGGCGTCGTTCCCTCAGGGGATGTACAGTGCTCTGGCAGGCTTCTGTGATGTTGGTAAGAAGAGCTCTGACACAGCGTTGTGGGAGACTTTGAGTCTGGAGACCAGCCACAGACCTATTGCTGTGTGGTTCCATGGAGCTCAAACACAAATGTGGTGTTCTGAAAAAAGGGGAGGATGTCACAAGAACAGCCTTGTTCAACCAGCAGTGTGAAATAGCTGAAAATATTTGGAGAGAGGAAGGGGCTATAAATGGGGTAAAAAGACAGGATTCATCAGCATTGACCTCCTATTCCAGTCCCTGTTCATGTATACAAGTATGAAACCTACCAGTTAAAATCTTAGAACACTTTTAATATCCATTTTGCAGGGGTTGTACAGGTTGGGTGTATTACATGAAAATATGTGGACTTGATGATTCTGGTAGAAAGCTAGTCAAAACTGAAATGAGAGAAGGTGAGCATAGCTTATTTTGTTTACTTACATACTTAATATGGTTACTATCACTTTGATATCTGTGTATCTCAGGTCCCTGGCACCCAGAAAGCAAATTATAAGAGAACTAAATACATTTGGTAGATCTGATATTGTGTCCCATTGTAAAAAATATTTTCAGAATGATCCAACCTGCTGAATTTCATCAGACCTGGAAGTCCTTAGAAATTACCAAATTTCTCACATACAACAACACCTTTAAAAAAAACCTGCATGGTTGATGAAAATAGGAGTGGGCATTTTTGTTAAGAAATAACTAGGGAAAAGAGAAAGTAAAGGCTGCACTTGATCCACAGGGAGCACAACAGTCATTGGCTCCCTGGCTGCTGCTTACTCACTTACTTACTGCAAGGAAATATCCTTTTTTAATTCATTCTGCTTTCAAAAGACAAGGTATGTATCTTATTCTGGGGTGTGTTGTATTCAAGAAAATACAGATTTATCCCTCCATTTTTTTGTGTGGCGTGAGGCATAAGTTTCCTTCCCAAGGGAAATCTTGCCATTGTTATGTGAGATGACACAGGGTTGTTCATGATTAACTTGAGTGTTTCTAGGTGAGACACTGGAGGAGACTGTCTGCCGGGAGGTGGCAGAAGAAGTGGGATTGGAGGTGAAGTCAGTGTGGTATTCTGCTTCTCAGCACTGGCCTTTTCCCAACAGCTCGCTAATGATAGCTTGTCATGCTATGGTGTGGCCACAACAGAATGAGGTTAGCAGTTCTCCATGATTTTATTACCTTCCCTGCTTGGTGAGGTCTCTTTTCCCAGTCCACAAAACCATTCATTGCATTGTATTTGGAAATTGCCACATCCTTTCAAGTGCAGTGTTCAGCTGGTTTTCTTTAAATGAGTGATCTTCTTGACAGCTTGACAATCCCCCTGTTTTCTGTTTGAAAATAAGGCAGTTTTTGCAGATGTGTACAAACCAAATCCAAACTCCACAGTAAGGTCCATCTTTGATTTTATGTCCTGTTGTCAAAGGAGCTTACTAAATTTGGCTGTTTATTTCCTCATTCATCCACCAGCATCATAGGGGTCAGTATAGTGATGAGATAGGGCTTACTAGCTAACTGCCGCATCAAAGGAAACTAAAGTCTGTAAAATATCAATGGTGACTTTTAATGTACTGTTAACAACAAGAGGTTGATCTAGTCCTCATGATAGATATTTAAAGTATATAGGCCATTATAATGTTCTGGAATCAAGTTTCAAAGAATTATTTTAAAGCAGATTTCAGCTGGGTGAAAGGTGCTGGACTAAACGTGTGGGCTATGAAATTTTCCCTTTATTTAGAGAACACTACAGACAGTGAAAGCGTTAGTTCCCCCCACCCCCACATGATATGCTTGGAGTGATCACCTCTATGGCCCAATTCAGTCATTGACCCTTTTGTGGAGCCTGCTGCTGAGGATACAGATCACTATCTGGGCACTGGTTAGAGACCAGGGAAAGCTACTAAACAGCCTCATTTTCACAAAGTGCTGAAATACGTTTGCTTTAAAATTCCTGGTAAGCAGGGCCTGCTTTGGCTCTAAGCTTGCCTTTCCTTTTCCGTATCCAACATCACTCCCCCATCTGGTCCAGATGCAGAGAAATCTCTTCCCTGCATAGTCGTAAAATACAGTGGAATCTTGAACTCATTAGCTTTCATTGATAGAAAATCTGTAACACACAAGTCATGAAGGTCTATTTAGCTGTTCTTAAAGCTATATTCACAATAGTTTGCACTTCTTTAATTTTTTCCAGATCAGAGTGAACAAACTGGAGCTGGAAGCAGCCACTTGGTTCAGCCTTGAAGAGGTTGTGGAGGCACTCAGAAGGGAACCCAGGCCTATGAAACAAGAAGGTGGCAGGTTCTCACTCTGGCTGCCTCCAAAGTGGGCCATAGCCCACCAACTGATTCAGGAATGGGTTAAGCAACAGAGCACCATGCCTGCTTAGCCACAGTCAGTCTATTGAGACTGCTTCCCCAATGGTTGTAACCTGGTAAAATAGTCACTCTCAATGGCAGTGGTGACCCAGTCAGTATGACTTACAAACTCAGGTACACAAGAGGCAGTTTTAATGATAAGTCCCAGGCACTCCAATCACGGGGAAGCATTGATTAAGACCTCAGATTCCAGCAAAACTAAACAAAAAAACCCAGAAAGCCTATACAACTAAATGTATCCTAGAAACAGGATAAACCCTTCTGGTACTGCACTCCGTCTCCATCCAGTCTCCCTCTGCTCTTGTCTTCATATACGAAGATTCTTACTTCCTTGGGATGCTTACCATGTTTGATCCATGATCACATATAATATAGCAACTAAAAATTGTTGAGAGGCACCACTTTCCCAGCTTAAGGCTGATTATGCTGCCCCTGTCATACTTCCATCACAGGGAAGCGAGAGAACAATAATGGTTTGGTGATAAATAGAGGAGTAAAGCAAGGGTAAATTTTTAACTTGAATGATGAGCAGAAAGGAACTGATTGGACAAAGGGTCTGCACTTCTGTACATCACTTCCTTGCTCTGTATTTTGCTTTCTTTTAACTTGTCCCCACAGCCAGTTTTACCACGGCAACACAAAAATCCATATCTGCCTATCATTTTCTGTTCCCTTCCCTGCCAACACCTCCACCCTCACAAATCTGCTCTAGCTAGGGTCAGTAATTAAGTGGAGGAGCAGAGTAATCCAAGGCAACACTAAGTAATGACAAGGAGAAAAGAGGCCTGCAGACAGCTGCAAATAAGAAATGCAGCGTGCAACTGCTGTGTAGGCCAGCTATCAAAACCCAGAAGAAGTAATATATATGTAGTTTATATTGCACAATTTCTGTATCCCTTTGGGAATTCTACATTTAGTGTACAGAACAGGATGTGTACCTCTTAGCTACCTCTTGCTTCATATTTTATAACAAATGTTTAGTATATATTTGCAACATATGTTCATGTCAGTCAGCAGTAGCCTAATCTGGTGGAGATTTATGGTAGTGTCAGAATTCACTGGAGGCTAGGCCTCTTGAATTCAGAGAAATTCTACTTATCTGGTTATTCAGCAGTTCAAGCTGGGTTTCTTTGGTCAGTCCTTATACTCTATACAATTTTGACTACCTGTTTTTCTTACTGTCTAACAAGCAAAGGGGAAAAAGCTAATTTCTTGTTTTCAAAAGCTTTAAAAATACCCAGAATTAAAAACAAGCTATTGAAAAAGCTGTTTTTCTTTTAATTATCAATTAATAACAAAATAAAACTAATCTGATATCTTGCCTGATTTAGGAGTATTGGATGGATATTATGAACAGTAAGGAGAGCACCGTGGCACAGGGAGTATGTACTGTCTCCATCCATTATCACTGTGGACATTCATCATCATCTGCATCTTAGCATGCAGGCGTAAGAGGAGCTGAGCATGGGTGCATGTTTTCCCTGGGTCTCTCTGCTTGAAGGGCCACAGGAAAAGGTCCCAGAAATCCTTCCAACTTGAAGTGAAAGTACAAATCACTAATGAAGCAGTGTTGTCAGGTGCCTCCAGGGTCTAATACTCATAACAACAGAAGAGGGTAGGCATGATTAAATACAGGATAGGTGAGAAAACTGGTTGGATACCATGGAAAGAGGCGGGGGGCAAAATGGCAAGAGGGATGTGGCTTTTATGTGAATCTGCATCAAGAATCTAGTTTAATCCCAATGACTGTTTAAAAATGAGTCAAAATACAGCATTGTCCCTACCGAAGTCACCTGGAAAATATGGACAGTTCTATGACATGGTTCTTTTAGAAAAATGAAATGGGATTTCTTTTCCACATAGAAATCATACAACAAGAACAATGGATTCCAGCAAGATAGTGTTTCTAGTAGTACTCTACAGTAAAATGTATCCTTACAGTAGAAGATCAGAGACACGGAGCAGGTGTAAGTCAGCATAACTCAATTGACATCAAGGCCAATTTACACCAATGAAGAATCTGGCTATCTAGCCATGACCCATTTCATAAACTGTTGTATAAAGTGTTGAATCCTCTGCGCATTCAAGTCCAGGAAACCAAGTTACTGCAGCTCCACCCAGTGTCTGGCCAACTGTTAGCATTGCATAAATAATATTTTGAAATGAGCAGAATACATGGCCTTGATAGAGCAGTAATAAGTATTGATTTAGTCCCTGCAGCAAGTGCAGAGAGGGCTTCATTTCTAATAAAAAAAATCCAGTTTATATAGATTGTCAGATGAAAACACACTGCTCTGGAAGAGGTGAGGTTCAGGTCAGCATTCTGCACATCAGCCAAACGGAACTGGAGACAGTTAAATTTATGTCCCATTAGAGCCAATAAAGGTTTACATTTAATTGAATCATATGGCAACCTGGGTACAAGAGCTCAGAAAAATATTAGCTGAAATTGCTGTGTCCAGGGGGTAGCTGCTCAGGTTGTGGCGCTGAATGTTCACACTGTCACCTCAGACTGCTTGATTTATCTTTGGTAAGGTTCAGTTTTCCCATTGGAAGTAGTATGTATCCATTATGAAGGACAGAAGTTTGATCTGAGATTGTAATGGACCAAGGAGGGTATTGTCAGCCAAGAAATTACTTTACCAGGGCAGGCTCTAAGCCATGATGAGCACACATTGGATCTGTGCACACCAAGAGGCTTTAAAAAAATATATAAGAGCCCAGCAAAATGCCCTGACAGTGATGTATGATTATAGATTTAGACATGCACACCTTCAAAGTAGCTGTAAGCAGTTTGGATCAGAGGGAGAAATGGGCTAATATAGTGCTTGTTATGGCCGAAGCCCCATTTCTGTGGTAATATTTTTGTAAAGCTGGACTACGTCTCCAGTGAAATCAGTGATGGTCTCAGGCTTCAGTTTTCTGCTTAACAGCAAATGGCAGCAGTTACTCATCCTGTGGAAAAGAAAACTTCTAGATATCAGTCATACAACAAAACAGCCACCTGGCAATGCAAGGACTCCACCAAAACTACCTCTTTAAAACTGAAGGGTCTGTCTGTCATGGAGCACTTCAGATATGAGCCACCATGACAGGCCTATCTTTTATCAGTCAGTATCAGCACCGCGCCAATCGGCTGCTTTTACTTAGCTATCTATACCAAGAACAAAATAAAGTAGTTGAATCAAATCAGCTTTTGGATAGAGGAGAGAGAAATCAAGGGAACGGAGCAAGTAGTTCTTTTGCACACAGTAGTAGCAGCAGTCCCTTTTTTGTGCTGCTGTAACAGCTCTCTCTCCTGCTTATATAATACAGTGGAATGTGCTTGTATATAGGCAGTCCTCGACTTAAAACATTTCGAGTTACAACATTCCGCACATACAACATTTATAAATTGATACTGTTTCAACTTTACGATGCCAGTTTCAACTTAAAACGCTTGATCCGATGCAACGCCATGCCAGCGAACAAGTTCACTGCATCTCCCTGGAGAACATCTGTCCAAACTTCCTTGGACAATGTCTTTAAGAAAGCAGACAAGATTCCAGAAAAACCTGCAGACAAGTCTCCTGAGAAGACTTCAGCCAAGAACCCTTCAAAAAGTCCAACCAAGAGCACTTCAAAAAGTCCAGCAAAGTCACCTCAAAGAAGTCTTTCCAAATCAATATGATTGCTACTTACAATATAAATATATTAATGTAGCTATATGATTCATCTATAATTGATCGAGTACAAAATGCTGGGGTATTTTTGGTGAAAATAGGGTATTGGGCCCTGGTTCAGGAACCAATCCGCCATTTATAACTGTTTCTTATGAGAAAATTGGTTCCAAGTTACAATGTTTCAACTTAAGGATGTTTTCAGGAACCAATTGTGTCCTAAGTGGGAGGACTGCCTGTATAGTATCTTCTTTCATAAAACTATCTTCTAGAGACACTTTACATTTCTTAAATGATTAACTGTTAAAATGAGAAGCATAAATACAATAGATCTTGTATCTTGTTGAGAGAGAGCTTTTATATTTTACAATGTATAATTTTACATATATTTAAAGTTACATACATAGGCGATTAGAAGACAAAGAATTTGAGATAAGATTTCACGTGAGATGAAAAATTAATGCTGCACAGTAATGCACTCCTGTAGACAGATGCTACAAAAGAGAAAGACCTCAGCCTAGCTGTGGTCAGACTGCAAAGGGACAAAGAGGAGTCCAGTGGCAGATGAGTGGAAGCAGTAAGAGAAGTAGAGAAAGTAGGGCTGAGCAGAACACCTATGTTTTGTTTTGGATTTGGTGTTTCAGCAGGACAGTGATTCATTTCAGTGTTTCAAGTTGCTGTTTCATTTTGTTTCAGCTGAAACATTCAAGTTTTGACATTGTTTTGACAATGTTTTGGTGTTTTGACTGTAGATTATAATGAGCAATGACTAAAATGCCTATAACTTTGTCATTTCTTGCCCGATTCTGATGAAAGTAGCAGGAACGGCAGCCCCTTCTGGAGGCATGAAGCCTGCCAAGTTTCTGGGAAACTGCACTTAGCCACAGAGTAGGGTCTCTAGAGATGTCCATGATACCCCTAGGGCCCCGTGACCGTGCCAGCTCTGTCCTGCGGGCACCTTCTCTTCTCACCTGCTGCCACGTCTTGTTGGAAGAGATAATAGATAAAGAGGCTGCCCTCGAGCTTCAGCTCAGTCACGGTCCTAATGGATTGTACTAAACCCTGTAGGTTCTTGGACCCCTTGCTGGGACCCACTCTAAGTAGGTGCTTCAGGGGGGTGCCCTATGCCTTATGGGCTAGATGCGTGGCTCCAACCATCTCTTACCATGCCCTCTGCCTCACAGATAGTATATCGATATTGTCTCTGTAATGAAGTCTAGGTCTTACTCTACCTTCTAGTATTACTGGGCTCTCTATGCGCCTGTCACACTGGGGCCTCTACACAACATGGTAGTGTGCCCCAATGAGGTCTCCTCCTCCCCTACAGCCTCAGTTCTGTCCACCACTTTAAATGACAACAGGTAAGCAGCAC